ACTGTTCAATCGTTATATTTTAGGTATCTCTCTGAATGATTCCAKAACAAAGAATAACGAACCCGTACCTCCGCCTTTGCAAAAGCCAACTTCACGYATCAAGGTTACCCCTGATGAAATGACAGATCATTTGCAAACCAAACTAAACGCAATGGAGAAATTACAGTATGCACTCACCTCTCACGAGCTTCAGGTCGCACAGCGCATGGCAGAACAACAGAGAGCTGCCGCTGAACAAGTACGAGTAAATGTCAAATCAAGTTCTAGTGATTCATCACCGGCGGAGGCTAATGACGTCATAGATGCAGGTAAGGCCTGGTTGCAAACATCGTATCCGTCAGTCTTTGCGAAATTACACTTCGTCTGCAAGCTGTATTATTATCATGATAACTGTATCGAGTACAAACTATACCTAGACTATACCTTTGAAATACATAGCAAAGAACAAGCTATGTAATAATGCTTTTTAAGTTTCGTCTTTTCAATTCAACATTATTCACTACTAGTAGTACTCTAGAACTTTCCAACCACAAGGTTAATACTCCAGTTTCGAGATCGTATTTTGCATGTTCAACCTCGAAAGCATGTCATATATTCCTTAAAAAAAAACACTCTTTGTACAAAGAAGACAATAAAAATTATGCTTGATTAAAGCTAAGCTTGCCCAGAAAAGAGAATTCGAAACTGGAGTGTTGGTCKGAACAACTTTTGACAACTTCTATTATTATCAATTATTATATTAAAGGAAATCAAGCAAGTCCCCATGAGAGGACAAGTTCCAGTATTTCTTCATTTTACCGTCGTCCTGGTCCTGCTTATCAAAAACACCCTGAGTCTGCGTTATCGCTCGGACAGCGGCGTTCTTCTTCCCCCCATGGTGATCATGCGCTTTTCACATCGTCTTCAGAAGGTCAGGCGTCCTTGCAAGAGATCTGGAAACTGCTGGATGAAGAAGAAAGCTTTCKTAGCTTGAGCCCTATCAAGGAACAATTTCGTACGCAATCCCCTGCCGATATTCCCGTCCRCGAGGAGTCTGAGGAGAGCAGCGGTTTCACAGTAAAAGGAAAAAAGACAGYGATGGACGTCAAATCAAACAAACAAAAACCTGAACTCTCGAAAAGAACTCTGGGAAAAATGAAATTTACTCCAAGCAAAAAAACAATGATAAGAAATTATAATATTCGCGATGACAAAAAGTTGAGTAAACCGAAATCTTGACGAAGAGAATTTCACACACAAAATAATTTTCTTGCCTTGGAATGTACACAAAACATTACGTAGACCACAGAAAAATCTTTGTAAGGTCGAATCTCTATGGTGAAAGACCAGAGTGACCGCTTAATAGAGGTTGACCGTTTAGGAGAGGTCACTTTTGCAGTAAATATATATGATATGCGACTTTTGGGGTCTTTACTGACCGCTTAATAGAGGTTGACCGTTTAGAAGAGGTCACTTTTGCAGTAAATATATATGATATGCGACTTTTGGGGTCTTTACTGACCGCTTAATTGAATGTTGTCGCTATAAAAAAGGTTCGACTGTGTACGAGGCTGGCATTGTTATGTCTGTTGTATGCCATTTTATAATCGAAAATATACCATACAATTACAACAACAACAACATTGAATCAGTAAGAAATATACTATTCCGAGCAGAATTTATATCCTTTATATTCTTGATGTACAACTACATTATCAAGAACTCGGTTCCTGAAAAATAAAACTAACAAAGCTGATGGACAGTAGAATTTATCATCATCCAACATGGCGGCGATGACRTAACACCTACAGTATACAGATTCTCAAATTCCATTTCTATTCAGATACGAGTGGACAGAACCTTACTCTGAGTATTATTTTCTTGTTTATCRAAGTAACTTGTACGCGGTACCGCTAACTACGTAACACCTATTGATTGGCATATAAAGAAGGGCTAACCTGACTGTTTTCTCACTTGACTTTGAAAATGATTACYGCACAGGTGGTCGAAACGTCAGTCACATCAAACAATTCTTCTCAGAACTACATCCACCCAGATGATCATAATGTRCATGTTACTTTGATAAACATTCAGTCACCTGGGTTTAGACCTTTTAACAGTATATTATTTTCTTCGCTCGAAATAGATTGACAAAGCGTACTCAGATATAAATTATTTATATTATACTATAAAGCTATTCTATACAATGCGATACAATGCTATTCYTCAATAAATACATTATTAAACGCTTAGTGTGCTGTTTTTTGAGAAACGTTTAAACCTATTTGCAGTTCTAGTTCCTAGTTTGCAGCCATCTTTCATTAGACTTTGGTAAATGACATCGTATCATTGGTAGTCTACATGAATGTGAGTTGACCGGTGAAACTACATCTTGCGCATGCTYTGTAATAACCAAGAGCTCAGTAAAACATTCCATCGACTATCGAAGGAATTAKGAAACAAACCACTGCAATAACGCTTCCCAAATAAGCCAACGAACCTGAAATATGAAAACACGGTTTAAAGTATTAAAATGAGGCTTACGATTCCGATTCTGCCATAACAATCTCTTTCCAACCCGGACTCCGACGCAGACTTATGATGTAGAATTAGATTGTTACTAATTTCAGTCTACCGCTTTATCGCATATTCCGACGGACCAATGAATAAACATGACTGAGCAAAGCTGTACACAAATTGGTAGCATTTCGATATGGTTTTCCTGTGTCGTTTTCATTTCTATCATGTATGYTTACCTGATGAACATTGAGGACATCCGACCTCACACCGGACCACTGTCGATGAGCTGCCTTTGCAAGCAGAGTGAGCACTGCTCAGCGTGTATTGCCCTCTTACGCATRCACGGGATAGAGTAATCGTCCCTCCAACACCACAACAGTTTTKTCGGCAGTTTTTCTCTGATGTCGAGAAGTTTTTCCAGCTTGGAGCAACTAAAAAATTGAGGCGCAAGTTTATGTTGGTTTTTTGTTTGTTACAGTCGATTGTAAAGTGAAAAGAACTTACTGTCGGAATCCACAAAAAAATTCTATTCGTATTTAGCAAAACATAGAATAAACATCGATAACTCTCGAAAAAATGCGGTAAATAAATTTTTCTAATTGCCACTTCTGACTAATGGAAAACCTTTTGTTTATATTACTATAAGTAATACCCTATTACCAGATTACTTCTTATTTTCATTACCTGACGGAGTAGTAGTTGCCATGGTGTACATCGTGGATGATGGTCTTATCTTTTGTGTTGATATCACACTTCCTGATGCAGCTCTGCTTGTACTTTTCGTTACCATGGTACTGATGTTACCGTAATAACTAGTC